CGCTTATGGCATCGCTTTGGCATCAGGCATTTTCTTTTACTTTACTAGACATGTCTTGGTTATGTATCTGAAGTGCTAATGAAAGCATTTACAATCTAGTTAATCATTTTTGGGAGAACACAAGTTGTTTATATACTCTGTGTATAAGCAGTTTCAGAACCAAGTTTCCTCCAACCCCTTTCTCCTGCTATGTTTTCACTGAGCTCTTGGCAGGCTTCTGAGAATGCCCAGCACTAAGGGAAACACCCAAGATTATTTTACAAGAGTCAGTGGAAGCTGCTGAAGTTAGCTCTCAGGTCTAGATGACATTTTTAGCAGCAGAACTTCATGCTGGTGGGGGAGCACCTTTCATGCCTGCCACAGCACTGGGCACCTTGTGGGCTGCGTCACCCTTTTGCTACAGCTGTGCATCATGGCAGGCATGGAATTACCACCCGTAGGTGCCCATGGGTGACTGGACCCAATATTATTTTTTTTTAAAGATTTACTTATACAAGAACTGAGGTACAGGTCAGAGGTGCAGGAGGGTGAGAGAATTCACCAGAGATAGTAGGGAGCAGAACAGGCACATGGACAGAAGACACTGCTGAGGGGAGCAGCGGGCGAGGCAGGAGAGGTCTGCTGCACTATGTGGGTTTCTCCCAGGCCGGCTGGGAATCGAACCCATGCTGAAGAGGTTGTGGACAGGTTCTCAGCGCAGCACTCAACCTGCTGTGCCACCGGGGAGGCCCATTGTATTAAAAATTAAATAGCTGTATTCCCTTCTACAGATAAAAGAATATGAATTGTATCCATTACTTATTTCGTCAAATGCTCTTTCTTTCCCTTTCAATAAATATATAGTATAAAGATTTTGGATGGAGAGCTAGCTTAGTGACAGAGAAATGTCAACTTCTTTGTTATAAACTTATAAAAAACACTAAAGAACGCGGAATGCTTGTAGCTAATAATTCAAACTAGTGCAATTTCCTGAGTGCTTGGCATGGGTTGGCTTATTTAACCATCATATATGAGACAGGTACTACTATGATCCTTGCTTATAGATGAAGGAAATGCATGCAGAGAGGTGAAACAATTTCTCCAAGGTTACACAACTAATATGTAGCAAAGCTGGAAATTGAACACAAAGTTGGGCCCTAAAATCTGCCTCTTCTGTTAACTACATTATACTCTTCTGTTAACTACATTATACTACTCCTTTATAATTCATTAAACTTGTTGTCTCTATATTAAATAATGAACAATAAACTATGTTAAAAACAATAAACCTAAGGATGAATATTAATAAATTCTTCAACCAAGAGTGTGTAACAGCCATTTGGCTATTGCTATGCAACAGCGAAGAAAGTGAAAGTTTTAAAAAAATATGACCCTAAATGATCTAGTGATAAAAGGAGGTGTCTCTCTTCCTGCCCCACCAAGATAAGCATTCCTATTTCTTTTATTTACCCTCCTTGTTTAACAACCTTGTCCTGTTTGACAACCTTTCATCTTACATTCTAAGGAAAAGAAAGAACATTCCTAAGAAGATAATAACACCAGATGTCAAATCAAGCTGCCCCCCACCTGAATCTCCCTAGAAATCTCCAGATGCCTGCATCTAAAAGACAGGCTGACCCTCAACCATCAACCCTTTTTACTCCTTTGTATAAATATCCCTGGCCTCTGCCAAAGAGCAGGATGGTAGTCTTTCAGACACGAGTCTGCTGCCCTCCTCATCTGTCGACAAATGAAACCACTTTCCTTTTCCTCAAACTCTGAGGGAAACCGAGACCAGTGTTTGACAACTTAAGCTCCAAAAATTAAGTAGACCACACACAGCCAAGTGTCTATCTCCTGCTCCCTTCTGGATTCTCTGGAATAGCAGGGATTGGATTAGATTATTGCTTCCACCAGCTAAGCATGCTATGTTCATGGTTAGAAAACAACCATGTCTAGAACAAGATAAACAATGTTTAGAGCCAGCAAGTAATGTGAAGTGAAACAATATTGTGCTCAGAATGTAACCCAAAAGGAGAAACGGATCAGGGAACTATGTCAGTTTCTGGTCATCTCAAACTTTCCTGTCTTCAAAATGATACCCTGCTGGGTTGGACCCATTATCTTCACAACTGGAGTTATTTTGGTAGTTCTGAAAATTATCTGTGGACAACCAGGAGGGATCCAGGTTCTATGAGGTCTAACACTTTTTTTTTTTTTTTTTTTTTTTTTTTTTTTTTTTTTTTTTTTATAGAGGCATATTTTATTTATTTATTTATTTGTTTGTTTGTTTATTTATACATGCACTGGGTACAGTCAGAAGTGCGGGAGGGTGAGAGAATTCACCAGAGCCAGAGCGGGGAGCAGAACAGGCAGAAGGACCGAAGTACACTGCTGAGGGGAGCAGCGGGCGGCAGGAGAGGTCTGCGCGCCATGTGGGACCCTCCTCCCGTGGCCGGGGAGCAGCCGGGAATCGAACCGGCGCCGCAGAGGCCGCGGGCAGCTTCACAACCCAGCGCTCAACCGCTGCGCCACCGGGGAGGCCCTAGGTCTAACACTTTTAAATTTGCAGTGGAAAAGAGTTTTCTTTAAGAAAAAGAATACTGATTTGCAAATACAAAATTAGTACATGTTAAGTTACTGTGACAGCCTCTGTACTTGTTGCTTTGCCTTCATTCTCTTTCTAGTCTAGTAAGTTCTTCATATGTAAAAAATTTCAGTCCCAAAGCGTGTGGGGAATGAAACAGAAACAGATGTGCAACAAAATGAGAGCTCCTCAGTCAATGAAGCTTGGGAAATGCTTGCAGCATCACATTCATTCATGGTACACACCAGAATAAAAAAGGCACTTAAAAAGTTCTGTATTTTAAAAAAATCTGCAAAAACTTATTTGTCCATGGAAATCATTTTAGTGGAATAGCTATTAGCAGGTAAACCGCAGGTGGGAAGCTCTGATTTAGTTAATCTTCATAAAAAATTCATATATCAAGCTTTTCCTCGAATGCAAGATAAAGTTCCAAAGGCCACTAAAAATGTCTCTAGGATCAGTTTGAAATTAAGCAAGTGAACACACCGGGGCACACCTTCTGCATCTAAACTTCATCAATCATCAATTAAGAGCAGATGACTTGCTACCATTGGTTCTCCCATCTTTTGGCAGGCAGGCTGTTCCTTAGGACATTCAGTCCTGTCCTTCTCGTTATTCAAACCCTCATGGCGTGTGGCCCACACTTTCATACTGGCATTTAGTCCTAGACCATTCCTTGCACTGTTAACTGAATTCTTTTAATATTGCAGTTTTCTCTCTTCCAGCTAATTAAGTTCCCAGAGGCAGAGAACTCCTTTTCAGTGGCCCCCTCAGCATCTAAGTGTGTGCTGGTAACTTCACTGTGCAAACAAATGGCACTTAACAGATGTTGACTGAATAAATAATTCATGAAGGAGTGCATCTTGGTAAATTTCCTTTTAAATTAGTTGGTTTTGCAGATTTCTGAGTCCAGACTTCCTGGGCCCAATAGGGATAAAGCCATGAGACTATCAGAGGACATCAGTGATCTGGTCCCACTCTTAACACAGCATCTACTAATGCAGAGAAAATGCCTCTCGAGAGGCATTTCGTATTTCGTGCAGTGGTTATGCAAAGTATCTATCACACTAGGGCAGCAGGATGGAATATGCAAAACAAGGTTTTACCAAAAGGCATCAGAAGACATACACACACACACACACACACACACACACACACACACACATATATATATGCATATGCAACCTGGGATAAAAGATCCTTTGCTGATCATAAATACACACAATTCCCTACAAAGCATTTCCAACAGATGCTTAATGAACATTTGCTAACTTTGATAAGATGATCACTGAATCAATTTAATGCCATCTCAAATCTTAAATTCTCTCTCTCTCTTTTTAATATCAAGGTTCCTATTTTATCTTACAGCACGGGTAATTTTCCCTTCCAAGTAGAATACAATTAAATAGGTTCATAAAATATTCATTAACTTATATAGGAATGCATATCTATCTGTGCCTCTAAGTTTAAATTAGTTGTCTCCTTTAGCCTGGGATGATTAAGTGTTTCCTACAGGGATTTCTCTCAAATGGTTTATCTTTTTGATTGTTCTATTATTGATTTGTGGTCTGGAATATCTTTTTATTTCTTATATACACATACCTCTACTTGCCCATAGTACAAAGCACCTGATTTAGGCATTTCATTTATATGAACTTATTCACTAGACTCCATGTCCAAATGATATAAAGCCTGATTTGTGATTGCAGTAGCAGAATGCTGGATCTCTGTTTAAGCAATGCTTTTGATCCTGACAGTGATAACTTTGAATCAAGGGCAATGGTGAAGGTGGTTATCCTAGTTCTGTCACTGTATGACCTCAAGATATTTGAGCTGGAATTGGTAGAGGGAGCAGATTGAGTAACAATGAACTAGATTAGGATTTCATGCTCCACCTTTGTCAATAACAAGCAAGTTACTGGAAAGTCTCATAACTCCAGAGGGTCTGAATTTTCTGATTTGTAATTTCAAAGGGTTGGACTGGATATGGTAAAATTCTCTGACTGTATTAAGCAAATTCTTTATTCTACTGAAAGAGCCTCTAAAAGGCATTTGGTTAACTAGAAACAAAAATTAGATTGAATTATAACTAGTTTCCTAGATGCTAAGTTTCAGCCACCTGTCTGGTGCTTAACCAGTATCAGTTCTAGGCTTATTGGGTATCACTTGCTAGGGTCACTTGAGAGGGAATACAGGACAAGCCTCTTCTTGACTGGCATTTCTTTAAGTACATGAATTTATTATGTTTATTAAGAAATTTTAGAAAGAGTGAATTGAATACATTTTAAATAGGAAATATAATACAACATTTTAAAAGGTTGATTCAGATTTGTTCTGGAGTTGTTTTACTGACAAGGCCAGTATGAATGGCACTTAGTGCAACAAGAGTAATTTCACCCAGTGAAACTTTGAGAAAAAGAACAATCAAACTTACCTGTACGTTAGCATGGACAGACCCAGGTACTTGGTATTTCAATTCGTGGGCTGTTGCTTGAGATTTTGGAAGGAGAAAAGGATAAGAAAGGGACCGATATTTTGATTTCATAATCTAAAATAAAGAAAAACAGTAAAAGAAGATTCAAATGAAAAAAAAGTTTCATTCTTCCCTATTTTGTGATTATTAAAAAAAATCCAGGTTTATTCATTTGAAAGAGAAAAACAATAATGTCAGAGGCTGTGAATTATTTATTTTTGTTTTCTAGTTCCTACATTTCCTTCTTTTCTCTTTTTCAGTGACCATGTAGTTCCTTATATTTGTAAAGAATGTTTTAAAAAATCTTTGGTCTTAGAGGTATATAACTGCAAATATGAGAATAGTGTTTGTAAACTGTTTTTTTTTTTTACTATTTTGTAGATATCTTGCTATAGCAATATAGCACTATATACCATTTTTAATAATTTCATGGCAATATGCTATGGAACAGTCATGATTTAATAACATCCTACTAATGAACATTTCCACTCTCTCTTTGTTTGAATTACTAGAAACAATATCAAAATACATTATCTTATTTATTATTGCTTCTTAAGCTTAAACATCTGAAATAGATGTTCTGAGTCAAGAGTTGGATGCTTTTTCAAAGGCCTTTTTTTCCAAGGGAAGTAACAATGCACTATAGCATTATATAATTTTCAAGAGTGCACCACTGAAAATCAATATATATATAATACATTCATTTCACCATAAAAAAGTCTAGTCCTCTCCTTTATTACACCATTGTCCTTTTAGTCCCGATTTAAAAAGCTTCTTGATGTCCAAGGAGCAGAATAAGCACTAAAAATCCCAAACCCAAACTCAAGTACTAGAAATGTTTTTTTTTTCTTTGTCAGGCCAGTAGGCTACAAATAATACTGCTTTATTTATTAATTCATCCCTCTTAAATTATTGTTAAAAATATACCCATTAATTCCAAGAGCTCCCACTAAATTTGTATAATGTTATATAGGCAAACAATTAGATCAGACACTGTTGTTGATAAAGCTGAATCTTTTTTCACAAATTGTTGGGGAGATTACTGCCTCACCACTATTTAAAGAAAACAATGTATGATAGTTACTTAACTTAGAAAGTTAGGTCAAGTTCTTACAAGTAATGAAGGCAAACTAAAGAAGACACAATCTGGTGGGGAAAAAATGGCCCCATCCTTGTCATATAACTCACTTCGCCTGCAACCCCCTCAGAAGCCTATGCTAACAGGAATGCCATGTAGGCTAGGGCTGAAGGGCTTTAAAGTCCCAACTCTCTCATCTCACCTAAGCAAGACTCTCCATCGGAAACGCCACAACCTTCTACAGGACTATGGGTCCAGGCCAAACACACCTAATCAACACTTAGTGTAGCAGATATTAAAAGGAGTTAGAATTATAGGTCCTGATGGTGGCGTTCAACCTTTGTGCTCTAAATTGTCAGTGGTGTAATTTTGTCTTTTGTCCAGAGGCCCCGGCATTCTTAACCAAGCACCCAACTGTGGATGGTGGCACAGCTGGGACTCTGGCAGCCCCTTCTTGCCAACCCTCTAGGTTTCTCCTCCACCAGGCCTGTCTCTCATCAAGTGGACTGAATCACAACAAAACCATTCACATACCTTCGTGAAATTCCAGCGTTGAATGAAGTGACGCGCCACGTCACGAGCCGCCTTCCCATGGACTGCAGAGGCAATGTCGTGCCAGGGCATCCGGGGAGTGGTGTACCTGTCAATGAAATCTGCCCAGGTGCAGCAGGCAAGCACTGTCACTGACTTGTGTGCCAGGACAGCAGTCATCTAGCCCCAGTCTCGTCCAATGATGTTACGTAAAAGGAAATGGTTAATGGCCACCATGTGTACCTTTTTGGTTCAGGTGGAACAATTCCTTTATAACTAACAGAAGCACACATCTCACATTAAGGAACACAGTTTCCCGTGCACCTTCCACAAATATGTTTCATTCACTTAGTAACAGGTAATCATTAGACAAGATGGACATGAGTTAGAACAATTATCCAATGTTGTTTACTTGATATTACATTTTTCTTTTGCATCCTGGTGAAACAATACCAGGTTACCTATGCTGGGCCGTCTCTATGTCTTCTTAGACATATAAGCAAAATGATCATCTGAAAATGTGTTATTCTAATGTGGGAAGATGAAGGTGATAACCAGAAAAAGATGATTAAAGGAAGGATATCATCTCATAGAAAATAATAAACTATGACCCCACCCCCACCAAATATGCCTGCAGGAGACCTGGAAGTTTCAGACAAGTCAGTTCTGCCTTATGTTCCTTTTTTAAAATATATCTACAAGGGAAAGTCCCAAGTCATAGTCTCCAAAGATTTACCAAATATTCAGAACAAATCAAAGGAAATGACAGATCATGAACATGTGTATTTCTTGAGATGCTGACAAGGGACAAATTATAAGTAGCTACTCACTACCATGGTACTCACCAGCAAAAGGTTTATCAAGTTGAACCCAATCTTTGAAGACAAAATTGCAGTAGTCCTTTCCATGCCAGAACCTGGTCTCCCCGTGCAGCTCTCCCACACCTGTCTGTAAACTGCGGACGGAGCTGGTGTCTGTGAACACAGTGAAACCTGCTCAGACATAATGGGCCATGTGGCCCCCAAGTGGGGGGCTCAATTCTCATTTACTAAACAGCTGAAAACTTCTCAACTTTTCCTTTTAAGATTCCTAAATAGGGCAGCATGTGTCCAGTCCATGGGGTTGTGGGTTGAAAAGGTTTCACAACCCTTACAAGTTTCGTCTCAGCAGGGATTTGGGTTTACAATCAGGTTCATCATTAGACAATGAAGACAATCATTTACAATCAGGTTCATCATTAGACACTTTCTGGTGAGGAGGGGGCAGAAAAAAAAGTTTGACTTTCTAGATCACTGAAAGAAATGGACCACAGGGCAAACTGTGAACAATGGACTCACTAGGAGGAGTTAGGAGAGAGCAGTAAAGCCAGGTCAGAGAAACATGAATGCAGGGACCCTGCAGAAGTCATGCCTTTGCCTTTCCTCAACTGATACAGTGCATACATAATACACAATTCTTGCCTTTGGTGACTCAAAAAGCAAGATCTTCAGATTTGCAGACAGCCCACATTTCAGCCCTGAAATTGAAAGGCTAAGGGACACTAAGCTTCACTTTCTGGGTCAGAAATTCTTTACAATTGAAAGGAAGAATTTGGTCTAGATGAAAATGTAAGGTCTTTTTGTCTCTGATATCCTATATTCCTAAAATCATAAATGACATCCATTAGAAAAAAGTCACACTACCAGGCAGTAATCTAAGACCACTACATGCAAAAGCAGCAATCTACTGCACCATATTACAAAGACCTTTGCCAGGACTGTTTTAATTAAGTGTAAATACTTTGACTTATATAGTCTGTACTTTTATGAGATGTGTTGACCATAAAGAAAATTAAGCAGGGCCTCCCCTGGTGGCGCAGTGGTTGAGTGCTGGGCTGCGAAGCTGCCCACAGACTCTGCAGTGCCAGTTCAATCCCCGGCCACCAGGTGAAGGTCCCACATGGCGCGCAGACCTCTCCTGCCGCCCACTGCTCCCCTCAGCAGTGTACTTCATCAGTTTACCTGCTCTGTTCCCCCCTCTGGCTCTGGTAAATTCTCTCACCCTCCCGTGCTTCTGACTGTACCCAGTGCTTGAATGAATAAATAAATAAATCTTTAAAAAAAAATTAAGCAGGAAGACTAGCAGAACTACAAATCACAAATGCAGCGCTTGGCACACGAGAGACATTGCACAAGTAGACATTGCATGCAAAATTATGCTGTTCAATGAATAAATGGTACCACTTGCAGAAGCTACTGATAGAACTAGTCTAGTCCCCACCACCACAATGTCCCAGAACTATTCTTCTGCACTTCAGAGAATTCCAGGATCACCTGTTGCCTACTGGGGATCAAGTCATAAGAATTAGTGTGCATAGAAGGCTTTTCAAGGCTTTTCCCAATATCTCATTCTTGTTCTTATTTTCCCCACATACAACCCCAAGCCCCACGTTCCCCTCATTTGACATTCAACAGGTCTAGTCTGTCAAGCTTCTGAGCAGTTCACTCATTTCACTTGTTATTCCTTTTGTATGGGATGTTTTCCTGCCCTCTTGGCCTAATCTCATTATCCTTCAGAGTCACTTTAGCAGTAACCTGCCCTCAGGACACATTCCTCAGATGCCAGCAGGAGAGGCATTCACTAACACTGCTCCAAGTCAGTAATAGTGCTCACCCCAGTGCCTCTAACTATGACAACTGTATAAAGAGGCACCCTCCCTGCCCCCGCCCCCCCCCACCCCCACTGATCTACAAACTCCTCAGTGCTAGACAGTGTATGCCTTCTCTGCCAGGTATGCTCCTGGCATTCAAGTTGGTAATTAAGAAGTATTTATAGGGAAATATTCAGTTGTTGGAAGAGTCCTGACGCATTTTTGCATAGAAAACAGAAAAAAAATACATCAGGACTCTTCCGACAGCCCGATAGTTTTAATACAATCACCACAAACACTGCTGGATATCCTATTTCAATTTGAATAATTAATCATCCAAAGGCTATTGAAATTTCCTGTATAAGAAAATAACTTAGGGCCTCCCTGGTGGCTCAGGGGTTAAGTTTCAGCACTATCAAGTTATCATCATCCACTGCAGCATGAGTTTGATCCTGGCCAGGGAGCAACCCACATGGAACAGCAGACACTCCTGTCTTGCCTACTGCTCCCCTCAGCAGTGTATTTCAGTAGATCTGCCTGTTCTGCTCCCCACTTTCTCTGGTGAATCCTCTCACCCCCCACACCTCTGCTCTACACCCCAGCTCTTGTATGCATAAATAAATAAAAATAATTCTTAAAAAAAAACTGTTAAAAAAGAAAACAGAATGTTAAAGATTAACAAAACTAAATCATGTTAAAAATAGAATTCTGCTGACTTAGTGATTTATTTTTCTGCCATATGGGACTGAAAGGTCAAAGTGCTGGTAAGTTTGTTTGCTCACCTGTAGGCTCTTTATAATAGCCAGGTCATTTTTTTTAAAGGAAAAGGAAAAGGAAAAGAAAAAGGGACAAAGAACAAGACCAAATTTCAAGTTAAAAAAAATACAACCACAATTGATAATTTGTTATTATTTAAGAAACTCTAAGCCAAAGTTTTCATGTACACATACACTTGTCTAAACAGGAACATTCAGGCGCAGTTCAGGATGAGATCTGAGCTGGGTGTAGGGTAAATGACTGTCAGGCTTTTCTGCCCTCCTGCGATTAGGAATAATGATGAATACTGCAGTCTTGAATGCATGCCTGATGGCGGACACCTGGAGTGGGGTGTGGGCATACTTAGGTGGGTTCACCTGGGCTGAGAGTGGGCCTGCAAAGGCGCCATAACGGGGATGCCAGAAGAACAAGAGAGAGAGAGAACACCAGAGAACCCAGAAAGAATGAAGACTCACCGGGGGCTGGGAAGCCTGCCAGTGTCCTGGCCCCCCGGCACCCCTGTCTCTGTGTACCTGGTAAATCCAATAAAAGCCTGAAAAAGCCACTGAGGGCTCCAGGACTTCTCCTTCCTTTCCCATTCTGCATAGGTTCATAGAGATCCTGCTCTGGCCCATCCTGCCACTACACTGGGCACTACACTGTTTCTGCTGCTGCTCCCCCTACTGACTGCTCATGCCAGGAAGATGACCCTGGCACACTCTGCACTAACTTTTCATGGGCACCTCAGAGAAGAACTCTGGGCCGCCCCTGTTTGAGGCCTTAGGCTAAGTGAACAACCGGAGCTTGTGGCTTGAAATCAGGGCGAAAGTCTGTGCAGAGCCCTGTGCCCAGTGGGGGGCTAGCCAGCTGGAGCTACAGCTGAGTCAGAGCCTGGAAGCATGGGCTCACGTGTTCATGTCACCTTCTGGAGCATCAGGGCCAGCCACATCTATGGCGAGGAGCCTCGTGCTCTGGTACCCTGGTCACCAAAGTCATTAGTGGGTTGGCTGTTTGTGTCATTATCTTCTTTACTGAGATTTTGTTAGAATTCTAGTAAGGTAGACTTTGAGAGGAGTCGCGGGACTGCATCTTAGGTAAAGGATGCAGAGCAGCCTGCAAGTCCCTTGTAGGGAGAGGACAGAGACTCAGAGAGAGGGTGTACTTGTGGAATTCCTTATGTTTTAAGACAAGCTTGGACCTAACAAATAGAAACTCTCTGCTCTTGGCCTTCTTTGTTGACTTTCAGTTGTCCCCATTTGGGTTTCTAAATTCCCACATTCCAAGAATCCCAGCTCTGACTTCTCCCAGGGACTAAGTGGCTCTCTTTTGTCTAGAGCTGCACATAAAGCCTGCCTTCATTTCCTGCATCACCTCAGTCTCCATACACCTACCTCATCTCATCTCCTCCCTCTGGAACGGGTCCCCTTAAATTTGGGGGGCTCATAATTCCTTTCAACATCTGAGAAAAGCTATGAAACTTCTCCTTGGACATATACTTCCATGCCATACCCTTGTTGGAATTTTTGTGCACATATCCAGGCATTTCTGGGACCACTCAAGTTCCCTTTAACCCCCCCGCCCCTCTGGGTTATTCAGCAAATCACAGCTCACCAGGTCTCTTTTGCCAGAGGGTAATCCAGGTTACTGTACAGCTATGAAAGCTGTGCACTGCATAACCTTTTCCAGAAAAGACATCATGGATGTTTGTGTGTATTAGGATAGTTTTCCAGAAAGTAGGTGGGAAGTGTCTTGAGAGGGGGTGTCATTTTCTAATTTGCACAAAGGTGTCATATAAACTGCTTCAGATTAATTATGCCAACCTTTATAATGCCTCCCTGCTATTCCAGACTTAAGGAAACACAGTAATTTTCTACTTGGTCTCTGTTGACTCTCTCTCCTTGTACTGGTAAAGATGATAATAAGGATGATGATGACCATGATGATAATGATGACAGTGATAATGTGACTGACACATATAAAAAAAGCACTTATTTGGTTCCAAACTCAGTTCTGAACACCTACTTATATGCATCATCTCATATAATTCTTCTAATAATTCTTTGATATAGGTACAATTATCCTCATGTTTGGGGGGCAGGTGAAGAAAATATATCCACAGTTCACTAGGGGCAGGGTCAGCTTTCAAGCTTAGTCAGTCTGGTTCTTTGATCCATTTCACTCACCACTGCACTCAGATGGCTAAGATGCAAGGAGTTCATGGAAAAGGAAGAAGATGGTTCTACTCTGGGCGCATTGTCTTTTTTTCTCTGTGGCCCTAACCCAAAAGAAGGAAAACACCAGAAAATAATCTCCTCCATGTTTCCTTTCAGAGTCCTTGTGGGAAAAACCCTGGAATGTGTCTCCCTTATTCCTCTCTTGCTACCACCAGTCTGCTCTCTCTGGTGTGTCTTAGGGCCCAGGTCAGGACTGTGGTTGGTGGTGCCACTGGTGTCTGTGCTGGATCTCACAGCCCTGGCTCTGCCAGATCCTACAGATTCACATCCCTGGTACAATTTCCCTCCATGAATTAGAGTAATCTCTCTCATAGTGATGATCGGAAGCCACCACGTGGTGTGGAGGGTTCTAGAC